GTTGGTCTTGCAAAATTCTATCATGCGATCTCCAGCATTATTTGTCACCAAGGCCAAATTTTCTAACTACCATTGATTCTTCTTTGTTTCCAACTTTTGCATTCCAGTCACCAATGATAATTCACACATCCTGATTGCATGTTCAGTCAATTTTAGACTGCAGAAGTTGATAAAGATCTTCAGTATCCTCATTTTTTGCTTTTGTGGTTGGTGCATAAATTTGAATATTAGTAGTATTAACTGGTCTTCCTTGTAGATGTGTGGATACTATCCTATCACTGACACCACTGTACTTCAGGACAGATCTTGAAACATCCTTTGTGATGATGAATGCCATGCCATTCCTCTTCAATCTGTCATTCCCAGCATGGCAGGTCATATGGTTGTCTGATTCAAAATGGCCAAAACTGGTCTGTTTCAGCTTACTAATGCTGAGGATATCAATCTTTATGGGTTCCATTTCATTTTTGACAACTTTGAAGTTTCCTAGATTCATACTTTGTACATTCCATGTTCCGATTATTAATGGATATTTCCAGCTGTTTCTCCTCAATTTGAGTTGTGCCACGTCAGCAAATGGAGGTCCCAAAGGCTTTACTTTATCCATATCATTAAGGTTGGTTCTACTCTGATGAGGCAGCTCTTTCCTAGTCATATTTTGAGTGCCTTTCGACCTAAGGGGCTTGTCTTCTGGCACTGTATTGGACAATGTTTCCAGGCTATTCATAAAGTTGTCTAGTAATGTATCAGTGTTTCTCTGCTATTCATAAGGTTTTCCCTTGCCAATTCTTTGACAAGTGGATGACCTCTTCCTTCTTCTAAGTCTGTCTCAGTCCAGAAGCTGTGTTGCAACCTGTGCACCATTTGCAACTCTGCTGGCATTTGAAACACCAGTGGCACAGCCTCAAACTTCACAGCAACACAAAAGCCACCACAGTATGACAAAATGACAGACAGGTTCATCTCCCTTAGCTGTTCATAACCTCTCTGCCTGCCTTTCCCTGCTTCCTGCCTTTGGGGTGTGAGCTGTCTGTCTCCCTCCCCTTACCTGGATCCTACCACTGACCTGTTGACCCTGTCTGATATATTATTGAAAAACTTTATGAGTGTGGTCACCATGAATAGGAATCAATTCTATGACAATATTTTTCTGTTTTGATTTAGAGAATTCTACCCTCTATTCCCTGGTCTCCTTCTGCTCTGCTTTGAAAATGACAGTAACAAAAAATAAATTCTTAAATTAGTAGCACTGTGCATGGGAATTTTCTTGGCATCTCCAATTTAGTGGATTGTATTCTCTCTCTCTCTCTTCTCTCTCGCATACACATACACCCAACATCTCCTTTTAAAAAGTATTTCTAATTACAACAGTAATGCATACTCATGGTTAAAAAAAAAATTTTTTTTTTAATGTTCTAGCTACACTTAGAACTTGAAAGTCTCTCATTGGCTTAGTATTAGTAAGAGACTTTTTGCTATTTGTTTTTTTAAAATGAATGATATATGTATGCACACCTAAGGGCATATACTCCAAAATTTTACTGATGCTTCTCAGGGTAATGTGATTATTAAGTAGTTTTACTCTCTTCTTTTGAAGTACCTATTTTTCCTGGGTTTTCAAAAGTACACATGTATTACTTATGGAAAGGGGAACTTGTTATTTTAAATAGAGGATTAAAAATTGTATTACCATTGATAACATTACTTATAAAATATACCATGCTCTTAATGAAGGTAGACTTTCTTTTTCTCTCGGTTGTTTAGTTCTAACCAAGATCAACAACTATACTCTGCTGGATTATTCCCTAATTGATGTTCCAGAAATCACTGAGAACTACATTGACCTGAATTTGAAGGTAACTTTATCATCATCAGAATCCTCATCCTGACTGTCAACAGTCAGAATTTGGGGAACAGATATGTCCAAAGGGAAATAAATATACATGTTTATCAAAAAAGTTAATTTCCTTTCAAGTAATTCCTTAAGCTTATGCTTTTTCAAAAGACTCTGGAACGTTTGCTTGACTGGCAAAGGATTATTTGGAACACAAGGTATATGCCTGTCTGCCTTCCTCACGAGAAGTACCATGACGTCTTTGCCTCTGGGAATAGGTTTGGGGCTAGGAAGCAGCAATCACAGTGGTCTGAGTGTATTAGAACTTAACTCACAAGTAGATTATACATGTTGATATTTTTATTTCTAACTCTCAGGTTAGTTGATAAGTTAGAGCCATTAGCACTTGCAAATGGTGTTTGCCAATTCTGATAAAGTGATTAACTGTGCTTCTGTTTAGTCTTGTTCCCAAGGCTAATGTCATTGTTTTTTCAAATGCACATTGGCTTATATTTCACTCATTTAGATTCATTCAAATCAGTTAAGTACTACACAAGACAGTATTTTGCAATAATCCCCAAGACTAATGAAGACAGAGTTAGGAACATCATAAAAATGCTTTAAACCATCTGGAGTCCTGAATCCTTCCAGGTCTTTTTATGAGTTCTCAGGTGCTCAGTGGTCACAGGTCTTGAAGGTCAAAGATTTGACTTCTCTACATGACACCTTAGGAGCTATTTAGATCTGGTCCTTTCCAGCTAGATGACCCTGCTTTCTTTTCTCTGAAAAAAGTACCAGCAAGGAGATTCCTACTGGGTTACACCCCAAGGTGGACAAAAACCCAAAAACCAAACCCACTGCTATTGAATCGATTCTGACTCAGTGACCCTATAGGACAGAGTAGAACTGCCCCATAGGGTTTTCAAGGCTGTAAATCTTTATGGGGGAGCTCTGGTAGTGTAGTGCCTAAGGCATTTGACTGCTAATCAGAAGGTTGGCAGTTCAAACCCACCAGCCATTCCTCGGAAGGAAGACTGGGTAATCTACTTCTGTAGAATTACTGCCTCGAAAACCTAAGGAGGGGTTGCTATGAGTCAGAACCAACTTAACAGCAGTGAGTTTGGTTTTGGAGTTTGGAAATCTTTATGGAAGCACACTGCCTCATCTTTCTCCTGCAGAGCGGCTGATGGGTTCAAACCTTAGATCTTTTGATTAGCAGCCAAATCCTTTATCACTATGCCACCAGAGCTTCTCCACGGTGGACAGATGTGCTCAAATATGCTAATAAGCCATCAGAACTATTAAACATAGTTACTGGTCAAGAAGTCAGAAGACTTGATCATTGTTTCATTCCTATTGAGTTTCTGGAAGGAGCTCTGGTGGTACAGTGCCTAAGGCTTTTGACTGCTCACCAGAAGGTTGGTGGTTCAAATTTACCAGCCACTCCATGGAAGGAAAATGGAGCAATCTACTTCTGTAAAGATTTACCGCCTTGGAAACCCAATGGGGGTCGCTATGAGTCAGAATCAACTCAATGACCATTTGGTTTGGGTGGGTTTACTGAGTTTCTGGAGTCCCTGGGTCATGCAAATGTTAACAAGTTCAGCTGCTAACCAAAAGGTTGGAGGTTTGAGTCTACCCAGAGGCGTCTTAGTAGATAAGTGATCTCCTTCCAGAGAGTCACAGGCATTGAAAACCCTGTGAAGCACAGTTCTACTCTGAAACACACAGTAACCATGAGTCAAAGGTGACTTCATGGGTATATATGGTGTGTTTTAGTTTTTATTTTTTTTACTGAGTCTTCTGGAATTTCCTTGAGAGTATCCACCTTCTTTAGTACCATACATTGAATTTTCACCTGACACATTGCCTTTTCTCTCTGTTTCCCCACAGGGCACATTCTATCCATTGGATAACCTCACCGACCCCCCCTTCTCGCCAGTTCCATTTGTGCTCCCTGAACGCAGTGACTCTATGCTCTACATCGGCATCGCAGAGTATTTCTTTAAATCTGCATCCTTTGCTCACTTCGCAGCTGGGGCTTTCGATGTCACTCTCTCCACTAAAGAGGTGAGCAGAGTTAACAGATGATGACAATTGGCACTATTATTCAATCTTTTATAAGTCTCCCTTTATAAGACTCTTATGTTTCCATTCATGAACCAACAGTCCTACTGTTATTGTTGTTATGTGCCGTGGAGTCGGATCTGACTCACAGCAACCCCTCCTTGGGTTTCCGAGAAGGTATCTCTATGGAAGTAGATTGCCCAACCTTCCTTCCAAGGAGTTTCTAGTGGGTTTTAACCACCAGCCTTCTGGTGAGTAGTCAAATACCTTAGGCACTATGCCACCATGGGAAGTGATGTCGTTATTAGTTGAGGAGTTGTTTCCACTTCTGCTAATTTCAGGATTTTTCATGATACTTGGTTCTAGATTGACCTTAAAGAATATCAACCTCCACTCTCTGCCACTTACCATCTGTTTCTTAACAGTAAAGTAACATCTCTGCCAGTTTCCTCAATTGGAAAATGGGGATAAAAGCAGTTCCACACTCATGGAGTCGATATGAGCATTAAGGAGGTTTTAATACTTGTAAAGCCTGAAAACCAATGTCTGGCAAACAGTTAGTGTCAATAAGTGATAAGTACTGTTTATCATCATCAGTATTGTTATTTCTTGTGTTATGTAAACATAAAAATTTCTCCTGATGAAGAGATAAACAAAATGTGGTATATCCATACAATGGAATATTACTTGATCATAAAGAGAACTGGATCAATAAGCACCATCATGATAAACAGAGAAGAGATTGAAGTTGTCAAAGATTTCATATTGCTTGGTTCCACAATCAGCACCAAGGGAACAGCAGTCAAGAAACTAGATGACATTGCACTGGGCAAATCTGCTGCAAAAGACCTCTTTAAAGTGCTGAAGAGCAAAGACGTCCCTTTGAAGACTAAGGTTCACCTAACCCAAGCCATGGTGTTTTCAATCACCCCATATGCATGTGAAAGCTGGCCAATAAATAAGGAAGACTGAAGAAGAGTTGATGCTTTTGAATTGTGGTGTTGGTGAAGGTACCACGAATGCCAGAAGAACTAACAAATCTGTCCTGAAAGAAGTGCAGCTGGAATGCTCCTTGGAAGCCAGAATGGCCAGACTTCATCTCACCTACTTTGGTCATGTTGTCAGAAGGGACCATTCCCTGGAGAAGGATATCATGCTTGGTAACATGGAGGGTCAGCAAACAAGGGGAAGACCCTGAACTAGATGGATTGACACAGTGACTGCAACAATGGGCTCAGGTATGGCAAGTATTGTGAGCCTGGAGCAGGACCTGGCAATGTTTTGTTCTGTTGTACATGGGGTTGCTATGAGTCAGAGCTGACTTGACAGCACCTAACAGTAACAACAACAAAGAGAACTGAAGTCCTGGTATTTGCCACAACATGGATGAACCTTGAAAACATTCTGCTGAGTAAAATAAGTCAGATACAAGAAGACAAATACTGTTTGGCCTCACTTACATGAAAAAGGCCAATGTATAGAGACTAAAGGTTACTAGTGGTTGCCAGGGGTGGCAGGAAGGGGGAAGGAGAGTCATTCTTTAGAGGGCACTGAATTTCTGTTAACGACAGTGAAATAATTTGGAAAAGATAGCGGTAATGGTTTCACAACATGATGGAAATCATTGGTCACTGGTTTATACATGTAAAAATTGCTGAACTGGCAAATGTTTTGTTATATATGTATGTTCTTACCACAATTAAAAATATGTATTTCTCCTGTTGCCAATTGCAACTGATTTATCCACAATGACCAGTAATAGTACAGATACACATTGATTGTCTTTGCCGTGTGCCTCCTTATAATGAGAACTTTCTCCAGCCAGTCCAACCACTTTTATTGGCATCCATTATGACGCTTTTTTCTCTATTAAAAAAACCTCATTGCCATTGAGCCAATTCTAACTCATAGCGACCCCCTTTGGGTTTCCAAGGCAGTAAATCTTTACGGAAGTAGATTGCCCCATCTTCCTTCCACGGAGTGGTTGGTGGATTTGAACTCCCAACCTTCTGGTTAGCAGTCAAATGCCTTAGACACCATACCACTAGAGCTCCTTCTTTTTGCTCTATAGATCTTCCTTAAACAAGTAGTTATAAACCTTACATTCAAAGTCCTAAGAATGGTAGCACCAGCTACCTTGCAGTGCTGAGAATTAGACACTTCTAGGTTCCCATTTGAAAACCATTCATTTGGGAAGGTCAGTTACCTAAGTCCGGTGCCTCAGTAACCTTAAAGCTGAGGACAATGATACAAAGCTTACTGTAAGATGATTATACATGGATGATACATAAGATCCTTCCTAAAAAAGGAAATGACTTCCTATGTGACCTTGAACATGTCACTTCACTTTTCTTGCTCTCAGATTCCCTATAATTGGACAGTAAAACGATAGATTGCCTTCAAGTACTAAACATTTTGTGGTACGACAGCTTCATAGTCCATAAAATTATAGGGAACATTTCATTTTTTCTAAAAAATAAAGCCAGGTAAAAATCTTACACTAACATAGTAATTCTTATTTTCCAGATCTCCAATCATTTTGTTCAAAACTCCCAAGGCCTTGGCAACGTGCTCTCCCGGGTGAGTGCTAAGGGTTTGACTCCTGGGTAGTGAATTTAGTTTCATTCCAGTTGCTTCTGGAAGACTCATAGGTTCTGTATATTCCATATCCACAAATACTCACTGAGCAGTACAAATGAATAATCAAAGTATTGAAAATTCACAAAACAAATGATCTATTTCTTCTCCATGGTTCCACCACACTTGAAATAATTAGTGTAAGTGGAAAGTGAAGGAATAGCCTCCATCCTTTGTGACTTTGGTAAAGCAACTGTTAATATCATGCCTTCATTGGGTATTATCCCTTAGCATAGCTGAGTATTAACACAATGTCCATACTGAGAGGCTTAGGTTTTGCCCTTGAGAAAAGACAGATGTTCGTGCAACATCTTGATTTTAGAGTCAGACAGACCTGAGTTTGAATTCCAGTTCTACAGCTTACCTGAGAAAATTACTTCACCTCTCTAAGACTCATTTTCTTCAGTTGTGAAATAGGGATACTGATAGCACCTGCCTCACAGGAAGCTGGTGAAGATTAAGTGAGATGATACATAAAGGCCCTGGCATGGTGCCTGGCATGCAATATATGTTTAATAAATGTCAGCTGTTATTATTGGGGGTTAGTGTATATTGTTGTTATTAAAGAGGTTTTTGTTTTGTTTTGTTTTTGTTTTTGTCTATTCTAACTCCAAATACTACTTCTTATTCTCTATGACATAAAATTTAATTAGCAAATGTCACCCCAAATTCATGATTTCCTTCATCAACTCACAGCTACTGATCCTTCTTTTCTTTCCCTGAATGGGCAGATTGCAGAGATCTACATCTTGTCCAAGCCCTTCATGGTCAGGTTCATGGCAAAAGAGCCTCCTAAGATCAATTTACAAAAGGGTAACTTCACCCTGGACATCCCTGCCTCCATTATGATGCTCACCCAACCCGAGAACTCGACTGCTGAAGCCATTGTTTCCATGGACTTTGTAAGTATACGGAGCTGGGAGGGCAGCCAGCCTGTGGATGCCAATCCTGCCCCTGCCCTGGACCGCTGCCCAGCAGCTTCCAACTGTTTGGAGGGGTGAGGGATGGTACATCTGTTAAAAGTGGGAAGGACAGGTTGAGAATGGAGAATGGGAGACCAATACTCTTACCCCCATGTCATTGTTGTAGGTGCCACTGAGTCGATTTTGACTCACCGTGACCTCTTGTAACAGTGGAACTGCCCCCAAAGGGTTTCTCTAGGCTATAATCTTTACAGGAGCAGATCACCAGGGCTTTCTCCCTCAGAGCAGCTGGTGGGTTCAAACCAACCACCTTTTGGTTAGCAGCCAAGTACTTAACCAATGCACCACTAGGGCTCCTTCATACCCCCATACATTGTAAAATATCTCTCCCACCTTTCTCCTCTTCCTGTGTGATCTTCCCACTGCTTCCATTACATTGATAGGTGAGCCTTTTTCCTCAAAAGAATCAAGGTGGAACTCAAGTTTATTTGAGCCAATGAAGGCCAAGGGCAATTTAAAAGGGGATTCATGCAATGAATCTAAGCAGTATCTCTCCTCTTTCTCTCTCTCTCTCTTTCTTTCTCTCTCTCTCTCTCTCTCTCTCTCTCTCTCTCCTTTCTTTCACCCACCCACTGACACAGAGAGAGATAGAAAGAGAGAGAACATGGAAGAAAGAGATTAGGAATAAAGAAAAAATGATTTAAAGGAAATTCTCAAACAAAAAGTCTTTAGTTTTCTTACCTGCAAGACAACATTTTTAGAGCTATTTCTCTCCAGTATTTCTCAGAATGAGAAGGTAAGGTGGGGAGCATATGAGGTTTCTCTATAGGAAATGGTATTTGTGGCCAAAAACGGACAGACTCACTGCTGTTAGTAATGAATGCTTTTGTTGTCTGCAGGTTGCTAGTACCAGTGTCGGCCTGGTTATTTTGGGACAAAGACTAGTCTGCTCCTTATCTCTGAACAGGTAAGACTGACTTTGACTGTTAGAAACTTAGTAACAATTGAGTCAACAGACCCCTAGAGACGAAGTGAACATTAAGAAAAAAAGCGAAGTTAGCATTGCCTACGGTATTGCTTGGTTTTCCACAGTCAATACCAATGGAAGAACCAGTCAAGAAATCATATGATATTAAACTGGGCAAATCTGCCACAAAAGACCTCTTTCAAGTGCCGAAGAGCAAAGATGTCTCTTTGAAGTCTATGGTGCACCTAACCCAAGCCGTGGTGTTTTCAATTGCCTCATATGCATATGAAAGCTGGACAATGGATAAGGAAGACCAAAGAAGAGTTGATACTTTTGAATTATGGTGTTGGTGAAGAATACTGAAATTACCATGGACTGCCAGAACAACGAACAAATTTGTCCTGGATGAAGTGCAGCCGGAATGCTCCTTGGAAGCGACAATGGCCAGACTTCGTATAACCTACTTTGGTCATGCTGTCAGAAGGGACCATTCCCTGGAGAAGGATGTCATGCTTGGTAAAGTGGAGGGTGAGTGAAAAAAGGTGAAGACCCTCAACAAGATGGACTGACACAGTGGCTACAATAGTGGACTCAGGTATAGCAAGTATTGTGAGGCCGGCACAGGACCGGGCAGTGTTTCATTCTGTTGTATGTAGAGTCGCTCAGAGTCAGAGCCAACTTGACAACAGCAATAGGACACAAGTCACTGAAATTCTTTATATTAGAGCCAGTAATTTCAAAGTGTGCACTTAGCTAAGAATTGTGTTGTGGAGTGTTTCTTTTTTCTTCCCAATAAGTCAATATTTAAATAAAAGGAGGAACGAAATTATTATAAATAGAATTATGTAAGATAAATGCACATTGTGATGGAATAACAATATAAACTACAGTTCCTCTTCCACAAGTTCAGAAAGCATGCTGTTGAGAGAAGAGTATAAAGCTTGGGGTTCAAAGCTCTGCTCACTGGCTCTATAACCGTGATCAAGTCTATTAACCACCTCGAGCCTCAGTTTCCTTACCTATAAAACAATGAAGTTGGAACAGATCAACTCCAAGGTGCCTTGAGGCTCTGATACCCTGGTCCCATTACTATAACACAGAGTTTAACAAGACCCTGGCCCACAGCCTTGCTGGCCTTGCAGTCTGGAAGGGTTTGAGCTGGTCAAACACAACCTATCCCCGAACACTGACTGCCATGCGGAAAAACCATCTTCGAAGCCCATTTGCCCCAGCCCTATAAAGCTAATAGCTGAAGCCATGATTCAGACTATTTGGGGGGAAGATATACAGAAAGATCAGAAGGACCAAACTCAACCCAGGGAAGGGAGAAGAGACAGCAATAAAACAAACAAAGCAAGCAGAGTCTGAACAGGAAAATGACAACAGGGAAAAGTCAGCCTATCACCATAAGCCACTGTGACAGTTACAGGACACTGTTAGAGAAACAGGAAGTGTTTCCAATGAAATGATGTTAAATGGAAAAAGCAGAAGACAGAACTGCATAAGCATGACAATAGTCAGCTGTGGAAAAATAGCATTGCACCTGGACCGGAAACTGAATCTCACAAAGAAAAAGGGTTGTTAGGATATAATGTTGGTTTTTTAATTATCACTCCTTAAAATGTTCTTTGTAACTATATTGTTTCGCTGATAAAAGGTACAAAATAAAAAAAAAAAAAAAAAGGAGGGAGGGCTTTTCAGAGAGACAAAGTTTTGAGAAGGCATTACTCAACTTTACCCGGCCCTTCAAAGGAGGGCCAACTTCTCCATTAGGCTCAATAGGCACAGGGCCTATGGCCCATGATACTTTACAGAACCATGAAAAAGTTTTAATATCTTTTAAAATAAGAAAAAAATCAATACAACCCAGACTCGTTATATTACTCTTCACACCAGTAACCAGTGTCCATCAAGTGAACCCGAACCCACATGTGTCAGAGGAAACCTATGCTTCGCAGGTTTTCAGTGGCTGATTTTTCAGAAATAGATCCTCCAGGCCTTTCTTCAGAAGTGCCTGTGGGTGGACTCAACCCTCCAACCTTTCAGTTATCATCCACCCACACTAACCATTTACACCACGCAGAGACTCCTTTGTAGTCATAAAATATCATTTCCAATATTTTTTATGGGAGAAGGGGCTCAGGTACATAAAAGTCATAATGTGACCCTAAATTATGTGTGCCTCCAGGAGACGAAGGCTGATGTAATGAAGAATCCTTGATGCATGATCTTTGAGATGATGGTGCTAATGGAGTTAGGAGAATGGAAGCCAGAGAGCAGGGGGATGAGGGGTGAGGAACTGGCCCCGCTGGAGGTAGGACAGGAGAGGAAGGAGAGAATTTGGATCACAGTTGGCCGGAGCAGCAGGACTGTGAGTGCAGGTGAGACCTCAGCCTGTTTGAAGGCTGGGAAGAAAGGGATTGTCAAAAAGAAGAGGCTGAAAATCTAGAGTGATGGGGACAGGGTGGAGATACGACTGGTAAGTAAGGCAACCAGCTCCTAACCAAAAAAAAAAAAACAAAGTCACTGCCCTCGAGTCAGATCCGACTCATAGTGACCCCTCCTACCCCTCCTTGGGTTTTGGAGGCGGTATCCCTATGGAAGTCAATTGCCCAATCTTCCTTCTGAGAAGTGGCTGGTGGGTTTGAACTGCCAGGCTTCTGGTTAGCAGTCAAATGCCTT